ATGACCACGTAAGCTCCTAATGGACTGACTTTATTACATATAACAACTATAAACTCTGAAGAAAATACAAAAACGACTACCTAAAGATACTGGAGTGGAACCAAGAGCAGGCAGATTCTGGATGGAAGTCAACCCTTGGAAGAGAGGAATGGCACTAGATGAGTATCTCATTTTCATGATATCTTGTCTGAGAAAGGCCCAAATCTTTAGCTGAACCATGAACCACACATGTGGGGAGGAATCCAAGCATCCTATCTAAGAATAAAAGAACAAAACTTGCATTCAAGATGCTGCCCAACAGACAGAGTCAAACCAAGTTAACTGCCTGCTTAATAACAACAAAAACAACGAAAAAAACCCCTCCAGAGACAAATCACAGAATCCAGAGGATCTATACAGTAACATATCCAAAATCCAGGATACATTCCAAAATTAGCTGACATACAAAGAAATATAAAAATATGACCTAGTCTCAAGAGAATACACAATGTGGGGTCAACCTGAAGATCTTATTTCCAACATCTGGAATTGGCAGACAGAGATACTACAATGGCTCATAACTATGTGTGATGATGTAAAGCAAAATATTCTCATACCAAATGTAAAGACAGGGAATCCCATCAAGAAAACAGAAGCTATAAGAAATAACCAAAAGGAAGTTTTCTTTGAACATAAACTGGCAGATTGTGAGAAAGCTCACGAGAAGGCCAATAAATTGCATTATTTAATTGCATGTATAATAAAAGAACATCTCTGGAAGGTAATTAGTGAATTTAATGTCACTGATTGTCTCTGGGAATGGGAACTGGATTTCTAGGGTGGCAATAGCAGAAAGACTTCTCACTATATAACCTTTTGTCTCATTTGAATTTTGAACCATGTGAATGCATTGGCTATCCAACTATAAATACATAAAGTGGAAATAACAAAATCTTTAAGTTCAAGTGGAAGAACTGGGCTTACACAAAGGAAGATACACTTTCATTGAGATGAGAGGCAAAAACCAACGGCAAGTGTGAGGTAGAGATGTTTGTAAGTTGGAGAGTGAGAGTATTAGGATTAGGTTCAGCTGCATGTAAAACCCCAACCACCTACTGCTTAGACGTACATCTTGAGCTGGCAGTGCACAGCGGGTATGGCAGCTCCACAGTCAACCCACACTGTTCAATGCTGCCATCCTCATCACATGGCTTCTAAAGGTCACTTATGCTCAGCAGTTGGCTACTTACACTCTATCCGTCTTTTCCCTGTTCTTACCTGGTAAGAAGGGATGGTGACAGGGAAAGAGGGATTTTCGGGGCCTCTCCCTTTAAGGTCCCTTCCTAAAAGTTCTACACAACACTTCCATTGGCCAGGAGTTAGATCCAGGGCCACACCCGGCTGCATGAGAGTCTGGAACAGGTAATCCTTATTCCAGGTGGCCCAATTTCATCAAGCTAGGTTCTGTTACTAGGTAAGGAAAATGAGTATTTGGTGGGCAGATGGCAGTCTATGCCTCAGTGAGCAAGTTAAGGGAATTGCAATCTGGTAGCTTCTATTTTCTCTGAAGGAGGAGACAGTGATTTGCTGAAAAGGCAGAAAGGGGTAGGTGGCTGGCTTGAGGAAAGGGGTGAGAGAGTGAAATAACTAATGTGAAGAGTAAGAGAGAGAACTGAGGTGAGACATGCAGAAAAATGTTTCAGATGGGTTGGAAGTCGTGCAACTGTGGCATATCAGTCTTCATGGTGCTGTGATTTTTTCCTGCAGCATTCAGCAGTCGGGGAGTAGCAGGTCTGTGATGGAAGCCATTATTTAGGAGGAATGTGCATAAGGTTAGTGAACAACACTGGGATCTGTCCCAGTTTGTTACTGCAAATATTGAGACATAATCAAACCACTCAGCAGATTCTTACTCATGGTTAGAATTTTCTAGTCTAATACATACTCTGTGTCCCAAGGGATGGCTCAAATTTCTGAAGTACATAAAGTAAGATTGCCAGATGCAATCGACCAGGTGTGTGAGTGAAGTTAATAACCTAGTCCTGAAAGTCCTTTTAGATTTTCCAATGAAATGTAAAAAGTGTCTCCAAATTCTTTTTCAAATGATCTAATGTATTCATTTATTCTACAAATATCTAATTAGTGCTTATAATATGCCAGACATTGCTCTAGCCAAATGAAGGAAGTATCTAATTTCATTAAGTTTACCTACTGAGGCAAGAGACAACAAACAAATCTATATCGATAATGTCATTCCCTTCTGTGTAATTCCAGAGGTCACTACACCTCTTGCCATAGTCTCCCAATCTATTTTCTCTCCCCTCCAAACCCTCCTACTCATAGCTGCCAAATTAATCTTCCTATTTGCTAGATAACATACCTTCATGTAAAAACTTTCAATGGGTCCATTTTTGCCTCTTGAATATAAAGTCTAAACTCTTTACTGCCACCTACCTTTCTACCTCTTTTTCCATAACTTCACCTCATGTGTCCTATGATCCTGCTGAATTAATCTGACCATTCACCAGGAAAAAATAATCTCTGAGTCTCAGTTTGGACAATCATTTTAGAACGGTGGTGGCTGTAGAAGCCACACGGTAAAAGAAGAAATGTCTAGTGTAGCAGTCAAGATGGTGTCACACAAATATTCTGTTTCTCCCTCAGGGCGCACTGTAGAGTTGAACATCCTCATCCCTTTGAAGTCAGGCTTGGCCACATGACTTGCTCCGGCCAACGAAATGTGGGCAGAACTGACATGTATCATATCCAAGCAGAAGTTGTGCAAGTTCTCTCATTTTCTTGTTTCCACTGCCAAGGGTCCCAGTGCCTGCTATGAACATATAGAGTAAAGGAGAAAAAAATTCCTGTTTGAAATCTCTCTGATGTAGGGATTATTACAATATAGCCTAGTCTTCCCTGACTAAGACAACTAGTGAAGAAACGAAGTAATGAATATAAGCCACTCTGGAGATTGTTTTACTTTAATAATTTTATTTATTTATTTATTTATTTCCCCAAAGCCCCAGTCGATAGTTGTATGTCATAGTTGCACATCCTTCTAGTTGCTGTATGTGGGACGCGGCCTCACCATGGCGGGAGAAGCGGTACGTCGGTGCGCGCCCGGGATTCGAACCCCGGGCTGCCAGCAGCGGAGCGCGCGCACTTAACCGCTAAGCCACTGGGCCGGCCCTGTTTTACTTTAAAAATCAACTTTATTGAGGTATAATTTATGTACAATAAAATGCGTTCATTTTATGTGTACTGTTCGGTGAGTTTTAGTAAACCTATACGCTCGGGTAACCACTCCCGTAAAGGAGATATAGAACATTTCCACCACCTCAAAACATTTCCTTGTGTCTCTCTGCAGTCGACCCTTTCCCCTCTTCCCCACTCCTCAATCCAACCTGGGCAAACAGTGATCAGCTTTCTCTGACTATAGACTAGTTTTGCCTGTTCTAGAATTTCACATAAACGGAATCATACAATATGTATTCATTTTGTGCTCTTGAAGAAGTTTGTAAACTTTAAATTGGCTTTATAATTCAGCAGACCTTTGCACTCATATAAAAGATTAGGGTTGGGCCAGCCCCCTGGCTTAGCGGTTAAGTACGCACGCTCTGCTGCTGGCCGCCTGGGGTTCGGATCCCTGGCGCGCACCGCGCACCGACACACTGCTTCTCCCGCCATGCTGAGGCCGCATCCCACATACAGCAACTAGAAGGATGTGCAGCTATGACATGCAACTATCTACTAGGGTTTTGGGGGGAAAATAGATAAATAAAATCTTGAAAAACAAAAAAAAAGATTAAGGTTGATTCAGCTTAACTAGGGTAATTAATCTGTACCTCCCTGAATTGTTTTATTTCAAAGATATACTAACTACAGTTTCCTGCGCTCCATTACATTAGAGTTCAGATCCACCAGAGCACAACTATTATTTCTTTCTTAGTGGAGAATTTTACGGGACCTGAAGCTCCAGGAAACATTCTATTTTGCTGACCCCTGTACCTATGCCCAGTGCTTCAACAGTGTCTGGCACACGGGACATACCCAATAAACATTCGTGGACTGAAGGGATGTATGTCTCTTGAACTGCCTTTATATAAGTCTGTGCTAGATTACTGGGATGCTTTAAAATCAGAGTTGCACTACCGTGCACTCTAAAGAAACCCGGGTCAGTCTTCAGGGCCTCTCCCCCCCTTCAGGCGCAGGCGCAGGATGGAGACGGACTGGAGGAAGCCCAGGGCCGTCGAGCAGGACCTGCAAATACCGCAACAGCCTAGTTTCAGTTGCTGTCTGTCTGTATTAAAAGGCTGACCAAAAAAAAAAAATCACGAAAATAAACCCCCACCAGCAGCCCGCCCAGACGCCTCTGCTGCCCCACCCCCTATTCCATTCATGTCGCGTCCAGACAGGCGCCTCAACCGAATTCTGAGCACTTGGTCCTAAAACAGGATTTGTCGTAAACGAATTGTCTGACCCTCGACACTCACCTGTAAAATAGACACTCTGACTCCCCAATCTCCGAAGAGTGCGGTGAAAATCTAACGGAAGGAAGAGTGAGCGAGCACTCGGAAAACGTACTGAGGGACACGAGGTAGCACCAGCTCACGCGCTACCCTTCCCTGCGTCCGCAGTGAGGCGGCGGCGCGGACTGCGCAGGCGCGCCCCCGCC